TTGAGAACGGCGTGGTGGCATGAACAGTGTGTTCATTATATGCATATTCAACGGAAAGCGAAATACTGACCTTGCTCAATTCACAGCCGCTACAGTGATCATTAATATGCGATTTCTGAAAACATCATTATTAACAAATTCAGTTTCGCTGGAAAGTGGAAAAGAAGTGAGACTGATAAATTAAAACTTTGAGACCTTCTCGCCATAGCTGGAGATATTGTCGATGATGTTTCACATTTTATTTCCGTGTGTAGTCTTGCTTTTTGTTCGATTCTTTGATAAGCTTGGGGTCGTTGACAGCAAACAAGGTAAGCTGAAACGTTACACATTAGTTTACTTGAAAAATACTTTAAGTAAATTAACCTTTCGATAGCCAAGGGTTACCTGAAGTAATCAAAGTGATTTGATAGCGGCTAAATCGATACGCGTTTCAATTTAAAGATTGTCAGTTTGTCAGTCACATGGGAATCCTCCGTTTAGACTGAATATTTATAGTTTCGGCCAAGGTACGCGAATAACTCGTGTGTTCCATTTACACACATCGCCTTATATTTTCAGAGAGAGAAAGATTTAAAGTTATTGACTTGGTTTCATTGTTTTGAAGTGGATCAGAATGAAACTTAGTTGGCTATCATAAGTATATACCCAGTATCTTAAAAAGTTACCATAAAGGATATTTTTACTTTTGCTCTGATCAGTTCCGCTATCCATTCCAAGTGGAAGAAAAACTAATGCAAATGCCGATAGATATCGACCTTCGTTTTATATTTCAACAGAAAAACCCTTATTGAACAGTTGAAAGTTATGAAATTTTGCCGATAAAAAATTCAGTATCTTCGCATCTGTGTGTGGGGGCTAAATCAGTGAAACTAAGCCTCATAATTGGGCACGAGTCAAGAAAGTATTGATCGAATTAAGTTAATCTATGGTTTCGAGCTGGCTAATCATAAATGAGTTTCCTACCATTATTTTTATCCGAAGTGAAATGTGGCATAGAGGAATGTCTCGGTTGTATTCAAGCAAATTTGTTTTAGGATGTGGACGAACTCTGAAGTCAAGAATATTTCCAATGACTGTATTGTAGAAAAATAGGCATAAACTAATTTTTAAATTGAAACTTTATTTGTTTTTTTAAGCTTTTCAACCTCATGTATCGGAATATCTCAATCAAGACTTGGATACATTGCAACTTTCATTTTCTAAGCCTTAGGTGTTGTCTACGAAAAACACGATAATAGCCGAGATAATTAGTCTTTCTTGGAGCAATTTGCAATTGAGTATCGATAGTGATCGATATTCCTTTGGTTTCACTTTTCTTCCATCTGTGATTGATCCAGAAAACTTGCGCCACTCTCTCAAACAATAACATGCAAAACTAGGACCAATTCGAGTCACGGTCGCCCGCGTTTTCCCGCGCTTAAGGCAGTTTGGTTGTTTTTACTTTGAGTTCGATTCTCATTGGCTCTTTAAAGTATTTCCTTTCACGTGATTGGCCATTGTATTTTATTTTTGTTTAAGTTTTTTGACGCTCTATCGAAATGCGCTCCAAACCGGTGAGCCTTCTTTGTATTTCACCACTACAAATTTTCCCAATCATTGATTATTTAATCTTCAGTTTCAAGGTGGCGCCTGTATGGAGATCCTATTGAGACTTTCGACGCTTGAAATCTAAATCCGTCTCCGATCACAATTGTTAGAGGCATACTTTTTAAAAGCTCTCTATGCCATTAAGAAATGTTCATTTTACATACATTAACGCAAACCTAATGCGTTTACTTCAGCTAAATAGGATTATCTATTATGTAGGATTGATACCTATGAGCATTTAAAATAGCTGGGAAAATTTTTCTTTGTGCCGTAAAGGATATAGAAATATAGACTTCCTATAATGCAAAGGCTTCTCGTCAAACGCTTCACAGGAGTAGCTGGGTACGAGTGTGATTCGTCTATCAAGATGCACATCGTAGCTTTTAGGAAAAAGTATTCGTAAAGGGGGAGAGGAAGGGGTAAGGAATGGCCTTAAAAAAGGGAGGTACCCTGGTAAATGACAAAAGACTGAGAGAAATAAGAAGAAATAAGGATCACCCTGTAAGGGATCGTTGTGGAGAAGGAGAAAAATTGGTCAAACAACCAAAACAAGTTAAAAAATAAACCCCTATTTTCTGATAAAAAAAAGAGACTGTCGAGGATAGGTCAAGGCAACATTAAATTTGTCGATTGCTTTATTTCTTTTGTTCCAAGGAGCACCTCAGAGACCTGGATGGAACTGTTCTGCAATCGCTACTAATGAGACAGTTGGATGTATGGTGCCAAAATATGTAAACTCTACCACGTGCATGTATCTTGGATGTTGCTGGAATGATACCCAGGCCGATGCTACAGACAAATGCTATACAAAGCGGTAAGTTCCATGCTTAATCATCTTCGTCATCATTATCACTCGCTTTCACTTCCATTTGAAGAAAATTCACTACTTCTCTTGAGAAAGATCGAGTTCTGTATGAAAACCCACACTGTATAGTCATTATGACTTTGCAAGGAGACCCTCAGACATTTCGCAGTAGAGTTTTTAGTGGGTCCAGCACCATTTTCAAATTTTTTTTTATTTTTTTATCTTCTCTGACCCTGTTTTTCACTATTGTTTTCTTGAAATGTAATTATCAGATTTGTTAATTTAGAATTAATTAAAAACTAGGAGGAAATGGACTCAGCTCAGCTTAGATAAATCAAACATATATCGGGCCAGGAAAAGCACGTCGAGCAAATTGCAAATAGTATGACGTTGCCGGATTATTAAAAAAAATGGTTTATGATGGTATTATAGCAGCTGTAATGAAATCAAACTTTAATGGTTGGTGGGGTGGTTGCACACAAGCAGCGCAAGCGCACTTTGTGTAACTTCTGAGTGTAAAGGTCGTCATTAGGAATGTTACATTCTCTTAATATACGTATTCATGATACACATAAAATCTATTAGCTCACATAATCATAACCTGTCCCGAAGTAAACGGCGCGATAGAAGCAGAGGAGTGAAAAAAATGAGGGAGTGTTGAGTCGGGTCGCGTAATGAACGTGTTCCGTACGCGACCCGACCCGAACCTTTACCATTTTCGCTCCCGCGCTACCATTGTGCCGTTCACTAATTCGCTTAATTTTTACTAATTAAGCCCCGTGGAACAGTTCAACATAATCATCACTACTACAATTACGGGAGCAAATTTCCCGCCTTGTTGTGTGCACAAAGCAGCTATGTGCACAAAAATTTTTGTTTACCATCAAGTAGTTTAATATTGGCTTTGTATTTCTGTTAGGGGAGGCGCCTGTTTTGAATACGAAGGAACAGTTTGTAACGACTCCTTTACAACACTACCCGAGTACAGGGACACCAAGCGTTTCTTTGACAACAGTTTTGGACTATCTGGGACCGAGCGGTTCCTTGCAAAAGTTATTGGCATCATCAATGACCTCGCTGGTGACAATGAAAAATGCAGGTACATTATGGTGAACATGCTGTGCCACTACACCGTACCGCCTTGTTACTCAGATGGCACGATACTCGACTTTTGTAAGGAAGACTGCGAAGAAATTTTTAACGAGTGTAGCGTAACCATAAATCAAGTGATTGGGGGAGTGAAGCTCTATGTGCATAATGAACATATTGACTTTATACATCGAGGAATTCCTAACTGCTCCATACATCATCCTCGGTCGTATTACGAGCGCTTGCCTGGGAACAAGACTTGTATCAATTCTGGATTTTTCAGTGAGTGAAACTGCTTTAATTTTGAGAAAAGGAGCGGTGTCTCTAAGAGAAAATCTAATTTGGGTAACGAAAGTGATTCTGGACTACTTTTTTTTCTTCACTTTGCTCTGAGATTGGTCCAAAATAACGCCACCTTTTAAACCAATCAGATGCAAAGTAAAACCAATCCCAATTTGGTCACTCGCGTTTTCCTACGCTTCAAGCAGGTTTCAATTCGCATTGGTTTATATTACAAACTCATTATATCAGAGAATCCTAAATCTCATTACCAGAACCATGATCATATTGGTCAGCACCACGAATCGTTAGGCTCTGCTTGTATTTGTCCATACGAATTTACGCAGGCACTCATATTCAATTTGTTTCGGTGATTTTACCAGCCAATTAAGTATTATATTAGACTTGACAAGAGCATTTGGCAACCGTTCAATTGGACTAGAGTCAGGACTGCCGCGAACGAAATTACTTCTATGGAATATTCTAGCGCGCATGCGCAGGTTACGTATGGTAAATCTGTTTAAAATAGATTTATTATTAAAATTCGCAGAATTCGAAGAAAAACGAAAACTCAAGCCTAGTGTAGAAACGAAAGAGACGAACCAAGGCAGTAACGACGACAATCTTCGCATCTTTCTACCCACTGTCACAGTCAGTTTGCTCACCATTGTGGTGTGCATTATTATATTTTTGCTTTGGCGAAGACACCGAGATGACATGGAGACATTGGTCGAGCCGCCGGCTTTTTCAATGAGAGATAAATTACGAGCAGAGTCCCTAAAAAGTTTTGATACATTGTTGTCGCGGCATTTTGATCCAAATAGATTAAGGCAGTACAGATTGGACCACGTACATTATGTAAAAGACCTGGGAGTAGGCTCTTTTGGCAAAGTTTTTCAAGGTAAGCTCACCTTTCTGTGCACGCTGCATCTACACCCTTTTGAGATTGTTTTTAACGTGGATATACCGCACATTATTTTTAACGTGGATATACCAGGCAGCTGCTAATCGTTCTTCACAAAATGTTTCGAGTAACACTTGAGTTCAAATTACTCTATTCTCTAGGGTCCATCTGCCTCCTGCTAGTGATTGACAAACTTTCTCGAGTTCCGGCGCGGCAACTACCCGCGTAGATTTTTACGCCGGCAAACCGATAGAAAGTGTGGTATATTGTTAAAGTTGGCTAAACAACTCCCGTCAGTGACTATGCACAGCTAGTGGCTGTTCACGTGAGCCAAATTGTCGTAAGCGACCAAGTCTAGCTGATATCGAAAACCTTTTTCGCTATTTACAGATGAGAACATACGAGATACTTCATTATATCAGTGTTTTCTAGGTCGTGCAGCTGGTCTTACAGACGAAAAGCCCAAGAAGGAGATTCTAGTTGCTGTTAAAGCGTTGAAAGATGATCCATCTAAGGAACAGAAAGACGAGTTTTTCCGAGAAGTGACTCTAATGTCCATTCTCACGCATCCAAACATTGTTCGACTCCTGGCTGTATCAACCGAGGAGGAACCTTATGGCATGGTCTTTGAGTTCATGAGTGGTGGGGATTTGAACCATTATCTGAGGAATGCCTTTCCAGCCGCTGAAACCCCCCTGGAATCACAGGAACCGAATAAAGGTACTATCCGTTCATCCGTTTTTCCATCCATTTATCCTCCAATCCATCCATCTGTCTAACGGTATGAGAAAATCCCCTAATAATACTGCAATTTCACTTTATTTTTCTCACCAGTCTACCTTGCCCACGAAGACCTTCTCCAAATATCGACCCAGATCGTTGCTGGCATGCAGTATTTGGTCAAGATGAAGTTTATTCATAGAGACCTGGCAGCGAGAAACTGTCTGGTCGGGAATGACCTTGTGGTGAAGATTGGGGACTTTGGGATGTCGCGCGACATTCACACCTCAGATTATTACAAGGTACTCTTACAATACCAAACTGCAATGAATGACAATAAAGCAGGTACCTGTGTTGTTCAAGATTAATTAAAACACTTATGATACAGAAAACGAGATAATGATCAAGTCACCATGTTCTAGGCCACTTTACCGCCTTCTTTCCATCTACAAGAGACATGCTTGATTTTTTTTTCTTTTTTAAATTTTACGGAAGGGACCTTTCATTTCAGTTCTTTGTTTTTCAGTTGAGCAAGGAAACTGCTTTGCCCATCCGCTGGCTTGCTCCTGAAGCATTAAATTACGGCAAATTTAGCTTCAAGTCAGACGTGTACGCATATGGCGTGCTACTTTGGGAGATTTTCACATTTGCTCTTCAACCGTATTACGGCTATAGCAACAAGGAAGTGATACACTTTATACAAAAGGTAATCACAAAACTCACCGCGAGATCTACTCGTTTGGTAGGGGTAGGTCTGGGTACTAAAACTACGATATAGGACTCAATTTTTTACATATTTAACCCTTTCTACTCTAACACCACAGGTGGCAAGTTCTCCATACTGTTTTCTATCCAATTGTTATGGTGCTTATAAGGAGAATTTGTCTAACAATCAAGAGCTTCTGTGGTTGAATTCAGGGGGGTGACGTTGGGAGAAATGAGATGCTTATCACTCTCAGGGGCCTGGGGCCAAAGGGTTAAACAGTAGCTCTCTCCTGACGAAGGAGTTTCGTGGTCTTTACATGCTTAGACTTTACCGCTTGTTGTCAGGAGAAGCGGAACATCGTTTACAACAAGATCAGCTTTCGTCTCTATGGTCAGCCTTTTTGAGGGCCTTTTCACATAGATCAGTAACCCAGGTGTTCATGTTGTAGGCGGGACTAATTTACGGTCTTCTGTCCATATGGAAAACTTTAATTCTTTCATTTTACAAGTTGATTTTTCAGTCCAGTCCTTAGTCGTTAAGTAAAGCTACAGCTCAGTTACAGATTGAACAAGAAGCCAGCTTCAAAGTTTTAAACCTAAGTTATTGTGCTTGTCAACTGAGCCATACGTGTTACTCTAATACATCGCAAATTTTCCTAATGAAAGGAGAGGTTAGGCGAGAGTGCTGAATACCCCTGTGTCGGGTAAACAGTAATTAAAATTCACAAATTCAAATACGAACATTGACCTCGAGAAAAGGGGAAGGTAAAGTCAATTATTCTGGTTTCTTGACATAAACGCCTGTTGACCTCTGCGCTAAGTTGGAGATCTGGGCACCAACACGCGGTTCTTTCTTGGGGTACTCTTTGGGGACGATTGAGTCATTCCTAACAGCAAGCGGTTTCCCTTATTGCAGGGTATTCATCTGGGCCAGCCTCGTGACTGTCCAGACTTCGTGTACGCTATCATGAAAGATTGTTGGCACGAGGATCCCAAAAAGCGTTTAGAATTTTCTGAGATACAGACGCGCTTGAGTGATCCATTTAACAGCAACTATGGAAGTTGTGCCGAGTCAAACAACCAGCTCCTGTCTGAAAACATGAGCGTCTCACTGTCTGGTAACAATCGTTTAACTTTTCTTTCCCCTCTATTTATCACAGAGAAGTAACACATCCTTGAAAAATGTCATGTGATCACATGTTGAAACAAAAGGAGTGATTTAGATGGAAAATTAGCGAAATGAACAACTTTTCTTTCAAGAGCAGGGTCAGGGTATTCATAGCTTCGGCTCCAAACCCACTCAAAGTACTCTATAAACCCTCTGGGCTCTGCC